CTAGAAATAATAATTCTAGAAAGAAAACATTTGTACCATTACTTTCCATTATTTTTAGAGAGCATTCATCTTTAATATGGGATGCTTTACACTTTTTGGGCTGCATATGTAGTCATGCAGTCCAGCCCGCATGAAACAATTTTTTTTATATCAATTTTATCTTTTTCAATTTTTTTGTTTTGTTGGTGCTTTTGAGCTATGTTTTGCTATTTCTGGCCAATGGGAATTTTAGCAAAATCACTTTGAAGAAAGCAAGGTTTGTCTGATGGACAATGCCAAACAACATATAATTCATTATCAATTTTAGTATTATCAATATAGTGAATTATCAGTATATCAAAACAGTCCGTTACCGTTGTCCAATCAAGGGGTAAACGGTGATGGGGAGGGATAACCTACTGTTTGGGTCATCTGACGATATGTTTTTCTCGCTTGTCCAGGTACCGTTTTATCCCCATCATCATCCATCTATTTCTTTAATGGTCATGGTCATTTTTATAAATATATTGGTCAATAGATTTTCCATGCATTCATAATGCGCATTCCTATTTGAAATCTTTCGTCTTTTCATTTAGCGGGAAGCAAAGAAGCATTTCTACAATGGAAAATCGGTCCAACCCCTTCGAACCAGTAAACCCTCATTCCCATTTTTCCCTCCTCGAACAATTAAACCGTAGTTCTTTTTTTTTATCCGATTGAATAAATCATGGTTTCTGATCTCATTTTTCTCTGTGTCAGGAGGTTATTGATGCTATTTTCAAGCTCGTATGGACTAGAAAGGCTCGAGGTAGCTCCCATTGTTCATTTGTTTTACCTGGTTTTTTTCTCGCCTGATAAATTCTGATCTTTTGTTATGTGTTCTTGATTTCGAGTTTAATAATGTTAGGTTATTTGAAATCTCTTTTTTGTGAATGCCTGGTTGTAGAGCGTGGAAAGAAGGAAGAAACTAAAGAGGGCATGGAACCAGAGGTATTATCTTGCCTTTTTTGAAGTTGAAACTATTATTTGGGGTCGATTACTGTGAATTCTGTTGCATATGGAAGTTCATTCCTTGGGGTTTCCTGTGCTGCACTCTATGCTTCAATCTTCATTTATTCGATTGCATTCTGTGAAATATTTGCTTGCCCTAAATCTTTTGTTCTCATTCGTCACCATGTGGCGTATTATGGTTAGATGTTCTGTTTTATGTGCTTCATTACTTGTAAACAGTGTAAAATATGTTTATTCGTTGTTGAGTTCTAATTCCTTAAAATGCTATCTAGAGGTCTTTATGGCCACATGAGTTTCTGAATTCCTTAACGCGATGACGTTGTTCCTTTCTTTTCTTTTACTTATTATCAGTGTTGTAAAACCTTGAAACTGGTAGAGAAACAGGCAGGGGCCTGTCTGAGCTGGCTCTGTGAGTCTTGAGTCAGGTGGCGTAGTCCCCATTAAAAAATATGAAAAAAAGGACAGTGGTCTAAAAAATATCAGAAAATTCATGACATTTTTTTTCAGATTGGCAAAAGCATGTCAAAGCGGTAGATGATATCCAAACCAATATATTTATATGTTTTTCAATTTTTTTGATACTTCCTAAATATTTTGGTTGAAGAAAACTAGATCCTTTCAAAATGGCAAAGCAAATTGTAGATCCATGACAAAAAAGCCCCAGATATATACACATTAGAGCTTTCTGTGGAAAAATAATCACAGCGGTAAGCTCTCTCGCAACAAACAGAGGAACCTTAATGAATATGCGCTGCGCTTAGACTTGGTCCGCATCTCCGCTATGCTATGATTTGGTCCTCTAACTCTAACCTTCAGTCGATATTGAATAAACTGGACTTGCTCAGTGTGGGATGCACAAATCCCTCAGGATTCCGATGATTCTTGAACAAATTGGAGAAACCCAGAAATCAGCCCAAAAACTTCCTAAAATGTCCCCTCTGAAGATCGTAGACAATTTTTGTACCAATTATTTGATTTGTCACTCGAAATAGTCTTTGCCCAAAAGAATCCTAATTCACCAAACACAAGAAATGGATTTTAGAGAAGTTTTTTCACTGGATCTTGCCTCAGATCTGAAATGTAGGACAATGATAGGCCTATGAGGCCCCCATTTGTTCCATGCCCGCCTGGAGGAACAAATCTTATTTTCGTTTTCTTGTGGTGAATTCAGAAAAAGAAAAACATCAAACTCGTCAAGTCCCGAGTGAGTCGTGATAGACTTGGTTCTTGCTAACGTCCTGGTTCCTAGGTAGTTGGGGGCATCTGAAACTGGACCCTCCTCCTCCTAGTTCCGAGTGACTTGACCAATTCTGAATCAGATTCAGCAATTTTTTAGGCACTGCTTCTCATTATTGTTTGAGCAACACTAGATACCTTTATGTGACCTGTGAGAATGATCCTACATACAGATACTTAGTTTAACGAGTTGGATGAGAAAGTCTGAATTTGTAATGATCTTCCCACTATTTGCTTTGAAATGCCAACAGCTTTTTAAGAATCTACTCTTTCAAAATACAGCTCTACAACAAAAACTGCTACTTAAAAAGATTATCACTATGATAGTCTGATGTTGGGCATGCGCTATGCAACCTGTAGATCCTCAATGCTGAACATTATATTCTAGTGTAAGTATAAACAATTTTTTCATTCTTTGATACGGAGATATGGGGTGCAAGAAATACTGTAAGGGACTGTGATATCATGAAGGAAGGGTGGATGTGGTTGATATATCTGGGCATTTAGCCCTGTTGAGGAAATCAACCCTCTGGCTCTGGCTCAAGGAATAGTTACAAACGTCATGGAGTGATCTCGAATGAAGTTGGAATAGAAAAGTGCCAAACATAATAGCTGTGCAGTGTTGACCTTCCCCATATAATATCTATGAGTTAAACGTTGATAGCTTGTGCAATTACAACTGAGGGAATATTGGAGGTGATGGCATCTTTTGGGATGACACTGGTCTGTAGATTTTTGCATTTGCTAGCATTCGGGGTTGTCAGTAGTATGGTGGCATAATTAATGTGGAGAATGGTTCAAACATAAGGAAACTGCTGGTTGGTGGTATTCTCATCTACCTCAGCAATTCCACATTTTTGAAGAAGGTTGTAGAGTTCGGGCAAGGGATGGTGATGGTGGTTTTTTATAGTGAACTATGGGAGGTGAATGGTATTCAATTACCTGTGTATTATGGGAAGGAAATATAATTGTAGACATACTAGCTAAGTTGTGTAGGTGTGATGTTGGTTTTCATTGTTTAGGCCATAGTTGCTGGGATCATGTGGGCAAGGTCACCATCCTGCTCTAGGATTGCAGTCTGCAATACCAACTAGGGATCACCAGGGGATTGTGGTTTCTAACATTTGAGATCTCACCTCCTTCATTTGGGATCTCACTCCTAGTTGTTAGGGATGTCGCTCCAAGTACTTGGGGGATAAGCTCCATCATGATGAAAAAAAGGTCCTCAAGGGTCATAACTGGAAGTTCCATTCAATTGGAATCGAGTCTCAATACCATTCAGATTCGAGATCATTTAGTGAAAACCTGAAGATCCTTGGTTTTGCACAAATGGAGTTCCCCATGTGTTAAGAAACGGGATTCAAGAAAATAGGATTCTCTTTCAAGGGATGTGAGGGGACGCACAAGGAATGGAATACATAAAAAAATTGTATATTTTTATAAGAAAAACAAATTTGATTATATTTACGTAATGAATTTCCCTCAAAAATGTGTAAAACAAAGAAGTCTAGGCTCAACTGAAAAAGAATAAAAGAGATTATACTAATTGTTGATATGTTTTGCAATTTATTACAATTTACAACAATGTTCATTTTCATCTCCAAAGGGATGGGGAAATATAGCTTTTTCCATGAGAGAGAGAGAGAGAGAGAGAGAGAGAGAGAGAGAGAGAGAGAGAGAGAGAGAGAGAGAGAGAGAGAGAGAGAGAGAGAGAGAGAGAGTAGAGTAGTAGAGTACGTAGTACGTACGTACGTACGTAGTACGTACGTACGTACGTACGTACGTACGTAGTACGTACGTAGTACGTACGTACGTACGTA